GAAGAGCATTCCAGGTAGAGGGAATAGGCTTTGCTCATTCAAGAACACAAAAATAGACCAGTGTGGCTGAAGTGCTGGGAGGGAAGGGAAGAATAGCACCAAATGAGTAGGGCAGCAGGCAGGGTCCTTCCCTGCACCACGGGAAGGATTTGGATTTTATCCTAAGAGCAATGCAAAGGCATCAAAGGATTTAAAACAGGGGCTTGATGTGATCTGACTTGTGGTTTTAAAAAGATAAATCTGGCTGCTGTATGGAAAATGGACAGAGGAGGCAGGAGATGGTAGAAGACTGTAACATTAATCCATGAGCTGATGGTGGCTTGGCCTGGGTGGCGACAGTGGCGATAGAGGGAAAGTGGACAGAATTGAGCATGAATGGCATTGTTAGTACTCTGGGGGATACAAGGATGGGCCAGTCCTAGGAGTTCTTTTCCAGGTGCAGAGGTCTATTTGAGGGCTAAGATACGCATGTTGTCATTGTTGTTGGGTGCCATTGTGTCTATTTTGACTCATAGTGACTTCATGTGACAGAGTAGAACTGCCCCATAAGGTTTCCTAAACCGTAATCTTTACGGAAGCAGATCAGCAGGTCTTCCTCCTGTGGAGCAGCTGGATGGTTTCAAACCACCAACTTTTGGTTAGCGGCAGAGCTCTTAACAATTTGCACCACCAGGACTCCTTCAGACAACATGCACATACGTAATTCTACTTCGGTGGAAAATGTTGTGCAATGTGGGCAGTGTAGGGAAGGAGTTGAAGGAGTTCAAAAGAAGGTGAGAAGGGAGTTGGGGATGGGCTTGATTTCAGGCCAGCTTCTGAAGGAAAGTAATCTTTGAGCACGGCATCAAAGGCTGTGCAAGGTGGGTTTGAAGGGGCAGACATAGGAAAGGGCAGCCCAGGGAGAGGAACAGCCCACGTAAAGGCAGGAAATTAAAGTGTATAGAGGGAGAATATAGTAGCATTTGTCTGGAGAAGTGGATTTGTGAAGGGAAGTTCTAGGAAATGAGGTCAGAAAAGTCATGGGGGTCAGATTGAGGACAGTACTGAGTGTCAGGCTAGGATAATAATATAAACAATAGGACCAAAAAAGTTTAAATAATGAGCCCTGGTGGTGCAAAAGTTGAGCGCTCAGCTGCTAACTGAAGGGTTGGAGGTTCAAAATGAGAAACAGATTTAATTCTTCTGGAACCCAGATTTCTGGGGTCCATGGAGTTGTGGTGACCCACCCAGGCCATTTCTTTGAGATCTTCTTTTGAATCTTGAGCTTGAGAAACTGGTCTTCCTAAAGTTACCTTTAGATCAAAATAGCCTAGCTTAATTTACAAAAAATGTTCACCTTGGGCCTTGTGAAGAATCATCTATGTGCAGTCAGTTTCAAGGAACAGAAACTCCAAGGTCAGACTAGAAGCTGTGTTTTAGGGTAAACTATTATTATGGAAACACTGTTCTGGCCCCATTTTCATGGCAATGTCTATGAATAGGTCATAAGAGTCTTTGGAGGTTTTCTCATCTTTGGAACATCGTTGACTCCCTAGTGGAAATGTTTTTATTGGCTATGCAAAGACATTGAACTGTGTGGATTATAACAAATTATGGATAATATTGAGAGTATAAAAGAGAAATTCATGAAGCCTTTTTGACCAGGACTAAATGACTGAATTAAACTCAGTTTTTGCTGAATTAAACTTATCTTTTTACATGCCTGCCCGAGATTATTTGCCTAGCTGCTCTCAGTAGAGTCAATCCAGACTTTTCACAAATAGCCTGCTATTTGGCTCCTTAATTGCTAGCAGTTATGGGAACTGAGGGACTTTCACTCTGCAGTTAAGCCAAGATGTAAAAGAAATACATTCTAAGGGAGGGAATCTTGACACAGGTGTCTTTTTCTATAAAGTGGGCCTAAGAAATGTTTCTTTATAACAAGGATGTAATTTTAAAAGATGTTCTGAAAGGGTCCTGGAGCTAGCCTTATCTAAAGTTTCCCAGACAACTTAAAAGGGTTTTGTTTTAATAAGTTGTTTCTGGGAAATGAGGTACTGGTACTGAATGGTTATCACAAATCCCTGAGATGTCCGATTAGAGCTGCTTAGCATCAACCAGTGACATTTTTATGACCCCTCCTGAAGGGTATGTGACTATAATTGAAAACCTCTGTAATTAGTCCCTGAAATCAATTACTGTAAGCCTCTGTAAATAATTATCCAATAGAAGCCCATTCCCCACCTCCTAGCCCACCCTTCTTGTGACTTCAACGAAAGACTAACCAATCAAATAATTATATTATAATTTCTTTGTTCCTTGGACTGTATCTGCTCCTGTTGGAAGCTTCCTCACCAGAGTCATCCATTTTCACTTATGTGACCAGCTGTCTCCCTGCATTCAAATATAACTTTTCTTTCTTTTTAATAAATAAAGCTTATTTCAAGGACTGAGTGGTTTTGTTCTCTGTAACATGAAGAATGGGAATTCCAGAACACTTAATTGTGCTCATATGGAAGCTGTACATAGATCAAGAGGTAGTTGTTCAAACTGAACAAGGGGATACTGCATGGTTTAAAGTCAGGAAGGGTGTGCATCAGGGTTGTATCCTTTCATCATACTCATTCAATCAGTATGCGAGCAAATAATCCAAGAAGCTGGACTATATGAAGAACGCAGCATCAGGATTGGAGGAAGACTCATTAACACCAGTGTTATGCAGATGACACAACCTTGCTTGTTGAAAATGAAGAGGACTTGAAGCACATACTGATGAAGATCAAAGACCTACAGCCTTCAGTATGGATTACACCTTAACATAAATCCTCACAACTGGACCAATAAGAAATATGATAAATGGAGAAAACACTGAAGGTGTCAAGAATTTCATGTTCCTTGGATCTACAATCAATGCCCATGGAAGCAGCAGTCAAGAAATCAAATGATATATTTCACCGAGCAAATCTGCTGCAAAAGACCTCTTTCAAGTGTTAAAAAGTGAAGATGTTACTTTGAGGACTAAGGTGCTCCTGACCCAAGCCATAGTATTTTCAGTCACTTCATATGCATGTGAAAGCTGAGCAATGATTAAGGAAGACTGAAGAAGAATTGATACCTTTGAATTATGGTGTTAACAAAAAATATTGAATATACAATGGACTGTCAGAAGAACGGACAAATCTGCCTTGGAAAAAGTACAGCCAGAATGCTCCTTAGAAGCGAGGATGGCAAGACTTTGTTTCATGGACTTTGGACATGTTATCGAAAGGGACCAGTATCTGGAGAAGGACATCATGCTTAGTAAAGTAAATCCATCAATAAGATGGATTGACATAGTGGCTGCAACAATGGGCTCAAACAGCACCGATTGTGAGGACGGCTGAGGACCAGGCAGTGTTTCCCTCTGTTGTACGTTTGTTGCTATGAATCAGAACAAGGTCGCTATGAGTCAGAACCAAATCGACAGCACCTAACAACAAGAAGTCGAAATGTTACTCCAATTTGCAAATTGTATATTAAATAAACTTCCGTCAATTTCTATCATTGGCTTAATATGATTTTTGTTTTAACAGAACCCACCCAGGTGCTCTGAGGGAGAAAGACCTGACGATTTGTTTCTGTAAAGATTACAGCCTAGAAAACCCTGTGGGGTAGTTCTACTCTGTTACTGGGCAGCTATGAGTCCAGAATCAACTTGCTGGCACCTAACAACAAAAGCAACAGTTTTACTGCAATATCACTTGTTGTTTCTAGGAATAATTAATGTGCTACTTGAGCTTTGATTATTTGCCGATTGGAATAACAATACCTCTTCCTGGCATCACTGCTACCTAGGTTGTTTGCAAATGATTTCTAACTTCTTTTGAAATGCATTCCTTTGTCATTTACTGAGTATTGACATTGGGGATCCAAGAGTGAAGAGGCATGGTTCTAACTCTCAAGAGGCTTAAGAGGTATGCTAAAAGCTGATGAAGACATAAATTGCAATAAAATTTAATGTGGTGTTAGGGAAAAGATGGGCTAGAGGAGGGAGAAATTGTTTCTATTTTTTGGGAGTGTGGGGCTAGATTTGACAGATGTGGTAATATTTTACCTGGGTTTTGAAGAATGTGTAGGAGTTTGCCAGGCAAAGAGGTGAGGTGCGAAGACCTTTCAAACAGCGAAAACAGTCTGTCTTCTCAATTCTCACACTATCTATCCTACAAGTCCTGTAGAGAGTACATTTTAAAGTTTTATTTTCAAGCTTTTAAGGGAAGCTTGGTGATAATTGGTGAAATCTTTTAGTTTTTACAGAACAAGAGTTAGCATCTGAATATTTGAATGAAATAAGCATGCATTTTTACCTAACATTATCTCATATTTACCAGGATTTTAGTAAATCATATTGGTTATATCCTCTACCCCAAATTATTCTTCAGGGAGATTTTACTAAATTTTACCTTGCTGAGGTATCAAAGAGAGGAATCTTAAATCTGTTTTTTTAGGAGACTAGTAAACTCATTAGTCTTCAATACAGACCCCTCATCTCTTCAATTTTTCACAGAAAGACAGGGAAAGTAATAATCCACAGTCATATCTGGCTCCTAATTTGTGCATTTGCGGAAAACTGGTCTTGTCTGAGCTTCCTAAATGTTCATAAAAGTTACCTCAGACTCAGACACCCCAAGACCATCCTGTCTCAGAAATGTGTTCATTGCTAATTTTAGCTCAAGATAAAAACATACCAAGATGGTCTGCGAGGTTAAGAGTGAGAAAGCCACCTTGAATGAAGAAACTTAATTTAAGGGTGGAAAGAACTATCCTTTCATCCAACCCGGTTATTTAACAGAGGTATGGAAATTGAGGTCCAGGGAGGGGCAGTGACCTGCCAAGGTTGCCCTGGAGTTGGGGGCAGAGCCCTGGCCAGAATGTGCCGCAGAAGGCGGAGGACAGAAAAGGAGGGGCTGGGTGACAGAGCAGAAGCATTTTGGGGAACTGACCCCCTGCAGGCAGAATCTGATGTACTTCCTCTCTTTCTCCACACTCCGCCACCGCTCACCCTCTCTCTGTCTCTCTCTTTCCCTTACTCTTTCTTGGTAAGGTTATGCGTCAGTTACCGATGGGTGGGGACATTTCCTGATGCATTTGCAACACTGAGAAGTTGTCTTTAGCGAGGCAGGACCGCATTCTGAGCACCAGGCCAGGAAAATCAACACCTGGGGCAGCTGGGCCGCCCTGCTGGGGGAGACGCCCCTCCTCACCCACTCCCTGCCGCCCAGCCTCAGCTGTCTACTGGCAGCCTCCCGCCCTCCTGGTTTCCACCTGACCATGTCCCTGGCTGAGGCCATCAGCCTCTGGAATGAAGGTGTGCTGGCGGCCGACAAGAAGGACTGGAAGGGCGCTCTGGACGCCTTCACCGCCGTCCAGGATCCACACTCCAGAATTTGCTTCAACATTGGCTGCATGCACACGATCCTGGAAAACATGCCGGATGCGGAGAAGGTGAGTGGAGGGGCTTCTCTCCCACCGGTCTCCTCCCGGCCTTTGTTTAATTATGGTTCTCAACCCAGGCTGCACTTTAGAAACATTTGGGGAGCTTTACAAGAACAAAAGATGCCCAGGCCCCACCTCCAGAGATTCTGATTTGATTGGTTGGGTGGGGCCTAAACAATCCTAGGTTTTTTTGTTTTTTTTTTTAAATTTATTGTACTTTAGATGAAGGTTTACAGAACAAATAGTTTCTCATTAAACAGTTAGTACATATATTGTTTTATGACAATGGTTAACAACCCCAGACATGTCAACACTGTCCCTTCTCAACCTTGGGTTCCCTATTACCAGCTTTCCTGTCCCCTCCTGCCTCCTAGTCCTTGTCCCTGGACTGTTGTGCCCCATTAGTCTCGTTTTGTTTTATGGGGCTGTCTAATCTTTGGCTGAAGGGTGAACCTCGGGAGTGACTTCATTACTGAGCTAAAAGGGCGTCCGGGGGCCATACTCTTGGTCTTTCTCCAGTCTCTGTCAGGCCAGCAAGTCTGGTCTTTTTGTGTGAGTTAGAATTCTGTTCTACATTTTTCTCCAGCTTTGTCCAGGACCCTCTATTGTGACCCCTGTCAGAGCAGTCAGTGGTGATAGCCAGGCACCATCTAGTTTTACTGGACTCAGTCTGGTGGAGGCCATGGTAACAATCCTAGTTTTTAAAAGCTCCCCAGGTAGTTCTAATGGGCTATCAGGGTTGAGACCCAGTAGCCCCAGGTTATGCTCTTCTTTCCCCCACGTATTAAGTTCAAACCGTTCTTTAATCATTCTTTAACATCTTTCTGAAGACTTCTCTTCCCATATTCCCTTCTATGAACTGCTGAACACCAGGGTCTTCATCTTACCACTTAGCACCTGATGATAAGGAGCCTCATAATTTTCCAAGAGTTTCATGTGTGTCAGTCTTGCCTGCCCAGTAGGTGGAGGGGAGGCATTTATGAAAAAATAGGTTTCATCTCAAGTAATAATTCTGATCAGTATTGTGGACCACTCTTTTAAGAATTCTGAGACTGGCAGAAGGAAATCATATGGTGATTGATTAAGGATGTCTGCCAAGGGCATCGTGTGGATTGTTGTTAGGTTCCTGTCTAGTCTGTTCTGATTCATAGCGACCCTATGTATAACAGAATGAAATACCGCCTGGTCCTGCGCCATCCTCACATTCGTTGTTAAGCTTGAGCTCATTATTGCAGCCACTGTGTTAACCCATCTCACTGAGGGTCTTCCTCTTTTTCACTGACTCTCTACTTTACCAAGCATGATGTCTTTCTCCAGGGACTGGTCCGTCCTGATAACATGTCCTAAGTACCTGAGACGAAGTCTCACCATCCTCGCTTCCAAGGAGCACCATAGCTGTCTTTCTTCCAAGATAGACTTGTTCGTTCTTCCGGCAGTCCATGCTATATTCAACATTCTTCGCCAACACCATAATTAAAAGGCATCAATTCTTCTTCAGTTTTCCTTATTCGTTGTCCAGTTTTCGCATGCATATGAAGCGACTGAAAATACCACGGCTTGTGTAGGCACACCTTAGTCCTTAAAGTGACATCTTTGCTTTTTAACACTTTAAAGAGATCTTTTTGCCCAATGCAATGCATCATTTGATTTCTTGGCTGCTGCTTCCATGGGCATTGATTATGGATCCAAGTAAAATGAAATCCTTGACAACCTCAGTCTTCTCTCTGTTTATCATGATGTTGCTTACTTGTTCAATTGTGGGGATTTTTGTTTTCTTTATGTTGAGGCCTAATCCATAGCGAAGGCTGAAGTCTTTCTTTTAAAAATATTTTTATCCCTCAAATTCCTTAGTATGGGGTTGAGCATTCTCAATAATCACTGTTTGGATTGATCATGGTAAGCTGGAAAAGACATGAGTTTAGAAGCAGAAGGTCTAGGATCAAATCCCAGCTCTGCCTTTCCCCAGACCTTTGGTTTTAGGGATTATGTGTTAGATGTGAGAATTAGTAAGGCTGGCCAGCCAGCTGAGTCCAACTCATGGTGAACTCCCCCTGCCCCATGTGTATTAGAATGGAACTGTGCTCTGTAGGGTTTTCAGTGGCTGATTTTTTGGAAGTAGATCACCAGGTCTTTCTTCTGAGGAGCCTCTGGGTGGACTCAAACCTCCAACCTTTTAGTTAACAGCCAAGCATGTTTACTTTTTGTACCACAAGGCACCAACTGTATAACTTCACACCACTGTATAAATGTTAGTTATTATTTTTACCTTTCACTGCCAGTCTTTGCAAGGCAGTGTAGACAAATGAGTAGCTCCCAGTCTCCTTAAAGAGTCAGTTCTTCCCGAGGTCAGCCTTACTGTTAACCAGCAGGTATTCAAGCCTCAGCCACATTCCTGGCAACAGGAAGAGAGAGAAGGGGTTGAAATGCTCTCTCTCCCTGACAAGTAGATCACAGGCTCCACAGGCCATGCCAGAAGGAACAGGAGAGGGCCCCCCACCTCTGGCTGGAGGGAGGACAGCAGCCCCCATCCCATCAGGGGCCCGATGAGGGGGTAAGCAAACAGCACACAGACTCTGAGGGTGATGAAGACAAAGGGCACATTGTCAGGGAGAAGGGATGGGAAAGGACAGCAGCTGGTCTGGGAGCAGCTGTGCCAGCCACAACTGTGTGCTTCCTCGTTTGTGGGTCCTTGGAAGGCTATACAGGCCACCACCCACCTCTCAGCTCACTCTTTCACACGCCTTCTCGCTCACGCATCAAACTCCTCCTTGTCTCTTCTGCTTCTGTCCTTCTCATTCTTTCTACCCCCCTTCGTTTTCCTGCTTGAGTCCTTAGTACTAGCATTTTCTATGCATTATCTCTTTTATTTTAATTTTGTCAGTAATCTTGAGAAGCAGATATTAATATCCCCATTTTACAGAGGAGAAAACTAAGGTTCAAGGAGATTAGGTAACTTGCTGCATGCTAGGCAAATAGGAAGTGATGAAGCAGGACATTCTGACCCAGTCTATCTAATCTAAATCCCATCACCTTCAAGACACCAGCCATTCTCATGATCCCTTGACACATACTCTGGGTCATCTCACAGCTCCTCACGGCTTTGTATGGACCCTTCTCTCCACAGGCCTTTACCAGAAGCATCAACCGAGACAAGCACTTGGCGGTGGCTTACTTCCAACGAGGGATGCTCTACTACCGGACAGAGAAGTAAGTGGTGCAGTATTGCACAAGCTGGGGAAGTTTACAGAGAAACCCTGAGGGATCCCAGAGCTGCTAGACTTGGTGTTCGAGAGGTATCTTCCTAGCCTCTGTCAGGAAGTCTGGTTTGACCTTCTCTAGGCAGTTATGCAATAAGTCAGCAGGAGGCGGAAGCCCTCACTGGTGAGGGAGGGTAGGCCTGTCACCCTGATTTTAAGTCTGCTGTCTCATAGCTCAGAGTATGTGGGTGGTGCAAATGGTTAACAGCTGCTAACCAAAAGGTTGGAGGCTCGAGTCCATCCAGAAGCACCTCAGAAGGAAGGCCTGGAGATCTACTTCCGAAAGATCCCAGCCATTGAAAACCCTATGGAGCACAGGTCTACTCTGATGCACACGGGCTTACCATCAGTTGGAATCAGCTTGACAGGAAGTGGTAATTGGTGTCATGGCTCACAAAGAGCCTACGTAACCACCATAGGCCTGGTATTCAGCTGGCCTGACCCAACCGCCAGCATCCCTCGGCTGGGTCACTACCTGGGCAGTGCTCGCTGTAAATGATTTGGCCATCATGAGTGACTACCATGAGGTCCTGACCCGTGACAGAATGAGGATTACCATGAAGCTACATGAAAACCTTGTTAACACTGTGAGTGTAATTAACGCCACTGAACTGTACACTTAAAAACAATTAAAATGGCAAATGTAATATTTTCTATATTTCACTACAATAAAAGAGCAAGGCCACATGACAAGAAACATACTGCAGAAAAGTAAAAACAAAACAAAAATGCCTTGCTTAATTCCAGCAAAATCTGTTTTCAAAATCCATTTAATGAAATATAATTTGGCCATAAAAATGAGAGTATGAACTATTTACATTATATGTATGTGAATATATTAATACAGATAAATAAATAGCGTATACACTGATACAGAAAAGAGTTCACAGTAGATGTTCAGTTTAAAACACAGATTGCAAAACAGTATATAGGGTCACTATGAGTCAGAATCAATTCAACAGCACACAACAACATAGCACAATCCTATTTACGTTTCACAGAATCAAGTCTGAAGGCCGTAGACCAAAATGTTATCAGTAGTTCCCTCCAGGTGTTGGGATTGTAGGGATTTCTGTTTTTTCTCACTTTATCCGTATTTTTTAAAGTATTTGCGGTCAATATGAATTAATTATAAAAAGGTAAATACATACAAATGGAAGTAAATTGCAATTCCCACACCCCAAAAAATACCCAATAACAAATATACAAACAATAAATTTAAAATATTCTTTTATTTTTTAAACTGTGCTTTAGATGAAGGTTTACAGAGCAAATTAGTTTTTATTGTTCTGTCACATTGGTTACCAACCGCACGACATGTCAACACTCTCCCCTTCTCGACCTTGGGTTCCTCATTTCCATTTGTCCAGCCTTCCTGTCCCCTCCTGCCTTCTCATCCTTGCCCTGGGCTGGTGTGCCCATTTAGACTCGTGTACATGGTTGAGCTACGTGTATTATTGTTTGTTTTATGGATCTGTCTAATCTTTGGCTGAAGGGTGAACTTCAGGAGTGACTTCAGTACTGAGTTAAAAGAGCGTCCAGGGGCCATCCTATCAGGGTTTCTCCAGTCTCTAGCAGACCAGTAAGTCTGGTCTTTTTTTGTGAGTTTGAATTTTATGCTACATTTTTCTCCAGCTCTGTCTGGGACCCTGTATTGTGATCCCTGTCAGAGCAGTTGGTGGTAGCCAAGCACCATCTAGTTATGCTGGACTCAGTCTGGTGCAGGCTGTAGTTGTGGTCCATTAGTCCTTTGGACTTATCTTTCTCTTGTGTTTTTGGTTTTCTTCATTCTTTCTTGCTCCAGACAGGTTGGGACCAGTGGAGTATCTTAGACAGCTGCTCACAAGCTTTTAAGACCCCAGACGCTACTCACCACAGTCAGATGTAGAACATTTTCTTTATAAACTGTATTATGCCAATTGAGCTAGATGTCTCCCGAGACCATGGTCCCCGGACCTCAGCCCGGTAATTCAGTCCCTCAGGGAGTTTTGATGTATCTATGAAGCTTCCATGACCTTGCCTTGGTCAAGTTGTGCCGACTTCCCCAGTATGGTGCATTGTCTTACCCTTCACCAAAGTTACCACTTATTTATTGTCTAGTTAGTGTTTTTTCCTTCCCTATCACTCCCCTCCCTTGTAACCATCAAGATTGTTTCTTTCTGTGTGTAGAAGCTTCTCATGAGTTTTTATAATAGCGGTCTCATACAGTATTTGTCCTTTTTTGATTGACTTATTTCACTCAGCGTAATGCCCTCCAGATTCATCCATGTTGTGAGATGCTTCACAGATTCATCATTGTTCCTTATCGTTACATAGTACTCCATTGTGTGTATGTACCATAGTTTATTTATCCATTCATCCGTTGGTGGGCATCTAGGTTGTTTCCATCTTTTTTGCTATTGTGAACAATGCTGCAATGAACATGGGCATGCATATGTCTATTGGTGTGACGGCTCTTATTTCTCTTGGATATATTCCGAGGATTGGGATTTCTGGATCATATGGTATTTCTATTTCTAGCTTTTTAAGGAAGCACCATATCGTTTCCCAAAATGATTGTACCATTTTGCATTCCCACCAGCAATGCATAAGCATTCCGATCTCCCCACAGCCCCTCCAACATTTTTTATTTTGTTTTTTCGATTTGTGTTTTTTTGTTTTTTTTTTTAAATGTCGGGGTGAGATGGTATCTTCTCTGGTAAATTAAAAATACTCTAAGCATAAAATGTCTCAAGGGAAAGCAAACTGACCCTTTGTAGACATTGTTTTGCCGGAGTGCAGAGGTGGAAGAAATCAGCTCAGGCTAATGAAGAACTTTCTAGTAGTGAAAATGGTCTAAACATGGTGAGTGAGGGTGCAGCAGGTGAGGCTGAGCGTTGACGGGGCAGAGGGGATGCTGCAGAGGACTGTCTGGCATTGAGGCTCTGATCCCATCCTGATCCTGCACAACCTTGAAAGGCTTTGATCCTAGGTTTGGTCAGAAACAGAGCCTTTAAAAGGCCAACATGTTCAGCTGTTGCTAGGGGCAACGCTAAGAAGCTCAGAGGAGTTACAAGATGTACATGCATCAATTATCCGAATCAGTAAGAGTAGAAGTGAAGTCTTCCCGAAAAAAAGCAACAGATAAAGACACAGAGGTAGTCTGGAGAGAGATAGCCTGTGATTGCAGAGGATACCCAGGCACTTAACTTTCAGCAGCTTCACGCCTCTGTCTAGCAGTCTCTGTCTCTCTCTTCCCATCCTTCTCCTTCTCGGTCTCTCCTTCCCCCTGCCCATCTTCTCTAGATGTATAGAAGATTCAGGAAGGCCCGAGAACAAATCCTCCAGCTGACCTTAAATCTCAAAAGACAAACTCTAAGGCCATCCTTTTAATTACTTCTAACAACCTATAATGATGGAGAGACAACTCCCCAGAGATTTGTTCGAAAGTCCCAGAGACTGGAAGGCTGGGAGGCTAGGATTATGAGTGAGTTAGAAAGAAGCTTTTCTCTCAGGGTCTAGGAATAAGATCCAGGATTCACTTAATCTGTGATTGGTAATTGTTAAACTGGAGAGAGAAATCTACCAAATTTTATCTTTAATTCAACAATCATCTATCGTGGAAGTAATATAAACCAACCAGTTGCTGTCGAGTGTATGACAACTCATTGTAATCCCATGTGTGTCAGAGTAGAGCTGTGCTCCATAGGGTTTGAATGGCTGATTTTTTTGGAAATAGACTGCCAGGCCTTTCTTTCCAGGCACCTCTGGGTGGACTCAAAACCCCAACCTTTCAGTTAGCAGCCAAGCACATCAACAGTTTTCACCACCCAGGGACTCCAGGAATAATATAAATGAAGCACTAATCTTAAGCCTGAGGTGGCACATTTTCTGGCATTGGTGTTCCCCTCAAAGTTTTGTTCTTGATCGTCTTCCTTTTATCACTAGATCTTGCTGTTGTTGTAGTAAGGTGCCGTCATGTCGGTTTTGACCAATAGTGACCCTATAGGACAGAGCAGAACTGCCCCATAGGGTTTATAAAGCTGTCAATCTTTATGAGAGTGGGTGGTTGTTAAATGGCAAAATTATGGACTATCTTCCCAGAAAAATACACACAAGCACACATCTACTTTTATATATAATTTCATGGAGTTCCGTGTTTCCTGAAAATCCACATGTGAGCCTGTAGGGATCCATTCTGAGCCCACCTCTCCCATAACACTGATGTCCACCTGCAGCTTGCCAGCTCTTAAGTCTGTATCTGGGATCAGCCCAGGATGTCTCTCTTCCTTAACCTTGTCACATTCACCTCTTAAATCTCTCTTAAATTCATTCATTTCTCTCTATCCCCACTAGCACCACCCTAATTCAGGCCCTCATTATTCACTAGGTGTATTGCAGTCACTTCCTAACTGATTTCCCAGCCACCAGTCTTGTCCTTTCTATCCATATTCCAGAGCACTCTACTTTAAAAATAAATGTGGAGGCTAATTACCTCCATGAACAACTGCTTCCTTTGCCATGAGACCAGAAGAACTGGATGGTGCCTGTCTACCATTACTGAACATTTTGATCAAAGATTCTACAGAAGAATCCTGATCGAAAGGGGGAAAATGTAGAACAGAATTTCCAATTTTCACAGTCTAGACTTTATGGAGCCATGGTGGCTGGATAAACCCCTGAAACTACTGCCCTGAGATAATCTTTAAAACTTAAACCAAAAAGATCCCCTAAAGTCTTCTTAAAACCAATAGTTTCACTAAACTAGTAAAAAATGTCTGCTGTGAGCATTATGGTCTTTTAAGAACTATATGGGATCAAAATGACAACAGCAACTGGAAAGATTAGACAGGAACCTTAGGGGGCAGTGAGTTTATGTTAATGGGGGAGGAACAACTCGGAAAAGGAGGGTGAGAATGGTTGTACAACTTGAATCAATGTCACAGAATTGTACATGCAGAAACTTGAATT